GTGCCTCTTCTCATTCAGTTATTCCTTGTGTTAGAGCTGCTAGCTGTCAACCAGCATCTGTTCTCTCCTTCCTTAGCCATAGGCTGCCCAACCAGATGACACTGCCAAGCCCCTTTGCAGCAGGGCAAGGCCCGGCCATTAAATTCCTACCCATGGAATGTGAGTGGAAGTGATATGACCCTCTCCCAAGTGTAGGGCTTAAACTCCTGGACATGTGCCCTTCCATCCCCTTTCCTTTCTGATCAGATAAAACCTAGGCATCACAGGCCCTGCAGATGAGGACAATGTCCCAGAGGAAGGTGGGGCAACAGTATGGAAGGAGTCTGGGTCCCTGAACAAAGGCAGGAAACAGATTCCAGGCCAGTCTCTACCACTCACCTCGTGAATGGGAGAACACTGAACGTCCATGCTCCTGAGTCCTTGATGCTTTTCCCCTCACGTTAAAAACTGCTTGGTATGCACCAGAGCAGCTCTGCATTCCCTGCCTGCCCTACTCCTTCTCCTCCTTACTCCCACTTCTCCAGGCCTGACTTCCTTGCTCCCCAGGCAGGTGCCCTGGGAAAAGCACGGGCGTGTTAGGCGTTTGGTGGAGACACGGCTTGGCTGGGCTTTGGCTCTCTGCAGGTTCTGAGCAGAGTTGCCAGCTCTTCTAACAGCCGAAGACCCTCCCTGTCTCCAAACTGAGATGGCTTCTCTTGTCTTGGGCGGTCACCTCAGAGTCTCAGCAGAGCCAGACAGACCTCCACCTCCTCCTTCTGGTCAGTCACCCTCTTCTCCCGTCCCCAGTAACCCAAGCTAAGCCTCCACTTAGCTCTTGGGCCAAAGTTGTGTGTTGAGCCCATCCCGACATTTCTATCTCCCTATTTAGGTAGAAGGGCTACTGGGGTAGATCAGGGGAAAGCTCCTAGAACTCGCCACCGCATCCACACACTAGACTAGTTTCCACACGGGACAGTGGGTGGCTCCTGGAGAATGTCTTATTGTGAACTCCATCAGGTGATGACTCAAACCGCTGCTTTTCCAGATGTGGTTTCTTTACTAAAGCAAATAAACCCAGTGTCTGGCTCTTTGAATTCAACCTCTGGTCTGTAAAATGTTGTTCTCTGTATCATTTAGTCAGGACCACCAAAAGCCATTTGCTTTTACTTGGTAGGGCAGCAGTTTCTTAATGTGGGGCTATGTCAGCCTTTTTGTTCTCCGTCATAATTTGATCTGTAGAGACCTTTGATCTGTATAACAGAACACCAATGCACGACATTGATGACATCGGGCTATACCCAGGGCACAGGAAATAGCAAGTGCACCAGATGCCTTAGTAAGACCCACGCACACCAGAGGGTGGGATCTAACCCCCCAAAACATTCAGGGGCCTCTAACCATGGTGAAATTTGTAGGGACCCAGGGGTTAGGAAATGTCAGGCTATCCCCTCTAAGTGAAAGACAAGTTGCTACACCCACCACTAAGATCAAAGCACTGCAATTGGTGGCCCCCTTTGGATTTGAGAGGCAATGTACGCACATCTGTGTGTGCTGCTCCAGACCATTTGCTGAGTAATGCATAAGACTGCTGGGTTTGGATGGATCCCAAAGCAGACTCAGGCTGCAGTGCAAGATGCTCTGCCCGTCGAGTCTTATGTTCCAGCAGATCCAATGGTGTTTAAGTTGTCTGTGATTTAGACATGGTGTATGGAACCTCCAGCCAGCCCTAGTAGGAAAATCTCAGTGCACACCCCTAGCACTTGGAACCAAGTCATGTCCTCTTCTGCAAATCACAATCATCCTTTTGAAAACTAGTTTCTGGTCTGCTACTGCGCCCTGGTAGAGCCTGAACACCTGACCATGAGACACCCAATGACGAGGTGACCTGAGCTGCCCGTCACAAACCCAATGTTCAGCAGTGTTCTATCAAGTGGAAGTGAAACTTTCAGACTATGTCGGCTATTCCTGCCACATTGCCACCTCTTCCTCACCCGACATCTAAGGTCTTGTGACGCACGCCCTATGATCAAATGATGGAAGAAGAAGAACCTCAGTCCTGGTGCCAACTGGAAGTGGATGGTCACAGCACCACGAGCCTGGCCTCAAAAACGTGGGAGAAGGAAAATCCTCTCGGCGAACAGGGCTTCAAGCAGTACGTGGGGTTGTCCACTGTATCAAGATGGAGACAAAAGTCCAAAAATATGGATCTACACATATTCATGGGATGGGGTGTTTAGCTGGGTGATCAAGAACGAGAATGGAAGATTGGTAATGAGGACATCTGTGAGAGAAATACTGTGGCTAGATCTATAACAAGGGGCACGGAAAGAGAGGATGTTTGTATTCTATGCGGATATCCCTGCCAAAAGTACTCACTGTAGAAGAGACTCTCAACAAATAGATGGACACCACGACTTGTTCTGTAGGTATAAGTCATTCCCCTCCCCCAGCCACCCTAGTGCTTGCTCGATAGGCTCAAATACAAAATGGCCATGGTAATGGAGGTAGAGGTTCTAGGTGGACACAACAACATGGACTTCCTCTCAGCAAGACTGATTTAGCTAATATCAGAATCGAGTGCCCAACTTGCCCAGAATACCTGATATGGCACCATTCCCTGTAGGAACTAGCCACCTCGTGGCAGATATAGTACACTGACCCCTTCCATCATGACGAAGGTAGCAATTTATATATTCTCTATATAGATTTGCCTTCTTTGACCACCACGCCCATGGACACTTTGGTTCCAGTCTTGGTGTTCCATACAAAATTGCTTCTGACCAAGGAGTTGATATCACAGCATAAAGAATGCAGCAGTGTAATTATACCTATGGAAATTTCTGGTCTTACCATGTCTGTTATCTAGAAGCAGCTAGGCTTATAGAACATTATAGCACCAGCCAAGAGATGCTGCAATGTTGGGGTGATGTCCTACAGGATGCAATATATACTTTGTACAAACCATAGTGCTGTTTCTTCCACACCCAGAAAACATCGATCCAGCAGTGCTGAGGTGGAAATGGGAGACTAGCTCTCACTATTGCACATAATAATCTATTCACAAAAATGTTACTTCCTATCCCTGAATCTTTGGACTTTGATGGTTTAGAGATTATAGTTCCCAAGGAAGGAATGCTTCTGTTGGGGAATACTTCAATGGCTCAGCTGAATTAGCAGAAGTTGAGTTTGCCATTTGGCCATTTTGATCTCCTCATACCATTGAAACTACAGACAAAAAAGTTTCCTCTACAGACCACGGTGATTAGTCCCGATCACCGAGGGTAAATGGGCTTGCTGCTGCAATGGTGGCATGGGACACTCTGTTAGGAAGTAGAGGATTCTCAGGGGTGCCCCACAGTATTTCCACAGCAAATAGTAAAAGATTAATGGAAGACCACAGCAGCCCAAGGACCACCAAAGTCTAAGTCCTTTCACCAGATAAAATACCCCAACCATGAGATGTTGGTTGAGGACAAAGAGAATTTAGAATAGCTAGTGGGGAAAAGAGAAATTATCAATATCAACAACGGCCTTGGGATCAGTTACAGAAATGAGGACTCTGGCAGCTATGTGGATTTCCTTCCTTGCTTGTTATGTGTGTGTATACATTGTGCATAAGGAATGCCAGTGTTGGCTAAACTGATGTTTTAATCTGTAGGTTACAGCATACTGAGGAGTGCCTGTGACCTCTAGAAATAGAGGAACAAGAAGAGAATCCAACATCATCCAGAATGGTGTTACTGATGAGGCTTTGTGAATCTCATTTTGGAGAGAGGGTGAGAGCAGACCAGTCAACCCCACTGGGATGAAGCATGATGTTTTTGTTCTTGAGTGGAGTTTAATTATGAGTGGAGAGTCTGCATGCATGTTTGAGTAGCCTAAGGGGGGAGCAGTGCCAGATGTTGACTCTGCTCTCATGTTCCATGCTTTCCCTGTCTGGGCTCTGGCTATTTTTTTTTCTTTTCATCTTGATGAACAACAACAACAACAAAATGGGCATTTGCAAAGTCAATAAACTATGCTTTATGTTCTATAAGTTATGTCCCTGGCTTAATGTTCTTTAGACATCTTAGCCCATTTTTCCCTCTGGGGGACTGCGGGGCATGTGCCTTGGGTGTACCCCGAAGGACCACATTCATGTTAATATGAGCAGATGCTTGTGAGCATGCTTTATAACCTGGGAAGCCCTGTGTCCAAATGAGGTGGGTTTAGGCCAAGGTCAGAGCATTGCACAATCCATCCAGAAGCCATCCCCACAACCAGCAACCTAAGCCCTGGACTCAACTCTTGTTTGCTCTTGCAAAGCACTGAGTCTGAACCTCGTGTCTCTGCATCTCCGGCCCCAGACTCTGGAAATGAGAGATGGATGGACAACACAGGTTTAGAAATGAAAAGCAACTGCTCCTCCTGAATGCTTTATTGGGGGCTTTCAGTGGTTTCTAAGCATGAGCGGCAGTGACACCCAGACCCTCTCCCAACATGCAAAAGGCACAGGAAAGTGAGACATGACCAGGGAGGGCAGCAGGGATGCAGGCACCCCTCCTCCTCCACATGGCATGTTGGGGCACAGGGGGAGCCCCATGAGTGATGGGGAAGGTGGGCATTAAAGGAGGTGCCTTTGGCATAGGCAAAGAGAGACAGACCCTAGTCCATCCACCTCCAGACCCGCCCCTACACTCAGGCCAGGACTGACCTTCTGAGAGAAGGTCAAGATGGCTCTCGCTGAAAGGCCACCTCCCATGGTGGGAAATGTCAACCTCAGATGGGAAGAGGATGATGGATGGATGCTACCTCCAAGAGCTTCTGGTAAAGTGTCAAAGCAAACACACTGGCCAAATCAGGAGGGGGAACGAGAGGGTGTGCTCATGGGGTCGTCCCAGGCGTGACCTGGTGATTGGCTGCCACTGCCTTGGCTTCAGCCAGTGCTGTCTCAGTCCATGTGCAGGAGAAGAGTGGAGCCCCTTCGGGTCTTCAGAGGCCTCCCCGGGGTCTGCCGTCTCCAGCCCCACCCGGAGGCACCACTTAGAAGAGTCAGTGTTGATGTTGGCTTTGTCCTGTGGAAGAGTTCCCTGGGCAAGAGGGAAGGGGAGGCCAGGGGTCAGGCCCTCGGAGCCCCCAGCACCTCCCGGAATCTGGGCCTTGGTGGCCGGAACAGCCTGGGACTCACCTCAGATCCTAACCAGTCCCCCCAGTTCCATCTTGAGACCTTGAATCAAAAGAAAAGGTATTCGTGTTTTGTTTCTGTTCTCTCTCTCCCTCTCTCTCTCTCACACTCACTCTTTCTCTCCTTTAGTAGAGCTGTGGCCTCAACTCACGGCATTGGCAACGTCTACCTCTAAACTATGGAATGTTTTCACATTGACGATAGAATTACTCCAAACAGGGCAGGGAGTGGCTGTCCAAGTTCATGAGACAGTGCGTTACTGAGAGCTTGCTGGGGGTCACACAGGACAGAGACACCAACAGGTACCAAGCCCAGGCCTGGCTCTAGATGTATTTTTTCTTGAGGTACCAGTAGGCAAAGTAGCCCATCCCACCCAGGGAGCCCATGAGGAAGGACGCCCCAAAGAAAGATGGGGGTTTCCGCTTGACCAGCCGGAACGCATTGGGGATGACAGCCGACAGCAGAGTGGTGTGGATGTCGCCGAGGACCTTCCGGAAGGCCAAGCGCTTCTGGACCCTCTCAAAGAAGGACTGCAGGTTGGGCCGGCTGCCGTCTTCCCAGTACTTCTTGGACAGTCCCAGGAACTTGAGGCGGTGCAGGGTAGCTCCCAGGAGAACGTCGGCGAGGGTGAAGGCACAGCCGCAGAGCCATGGTTCACACTTTTGCCCTGGAGTGGAAGGGAGAGGAGATGGGGCGGGGGGCTCCCTTCTCTGCCACTGACCCGCTGGCCCCTGCCCACCCGCCCGCTCCCTACAGCTTTCATCACTTTTGTCCAAGGCTTACACTACCGCTGTTAGTGTTTTTTCTTTAAATCAACTGACTCTTAAGGTGCAAATACATGTGTCTAAACTCTAGACTCCTGTGTCTAACTGCCCGTTTGACAGGCTCCACCTGGATATCCACCATGCCCTTCAGACCCGGTATGTCCAAAACCGAATTCCTGATTGTCACCCCCAACCCCACCACACTCATCCCCATGTCAGTGACCGTGTGCCCACCCTTTCAGTCGCTTGGGCCAAAGCCCCATGCCCCCATGCCACGTCGAGTCCCCTCCCTTCCATCCCTCATGTATAGTGTGTCAGCAATTCCCATCAGCGTCTCTTCCAAACACATCCAGAGCGTGAGGTTGCCTCTGTGGTTACCAGCCCGGTCCAAACAACCATCCTCTCCAACCTGATAGATCTCCCTGCCTCTGCCCTTGACTTCCCGAGTCTGTTCTCAACACAGCAGCCAGAGGGACTGGAAATGGGCATGGCTTGCCTGGGGCGCCCAGTGAACAGGGAGTGATTTGTGAGAAGTCAAGATTCGGCAAATAGATGGAGATAAATTAGGGGAAAAGCTTAGAAGCCCCACAAAGGAGTTTGGACATGAACATGGTTAGTGGGGAGAATTGTAGGGTTTTGAGCCAAGACGTGATGTAGGAAACCAAAGGAGCTCCACGTCCATCTCTGGGCTTTTGCCGCTGCCAGGCCTCATGCCTGGGATGCTCTCCCCTCTGCTTCCTGAGAGGTCTGCTGTCCTGGAAAGCTTGCTTCTGCATCTTTGAGCAGGTGTGCCTTTCAACTCAGAAATGCCCTGAATCTGATGCCCTCCACCATCAAAGCCTGAGTCCCTCCATCCCTCTCACTCTGTGGCTTCTTGTTTATTCATTTATTCATTCACCCAACACATGTTTATCTAGTAGTATGTGCTGGGCATGAAGACCCGAGATGACACGACGCATGATAAGACACAGAGGCTCATGCCTTCACAGGACGAGGAGGTAAAGTGTGATGAAGGCTCTAATCCAAAGTTTGTTCTTGACACATAACTTTCAAGATGCCTATTAGATATCCAAGGGGAGATGATAAATCAGCAGTCAGAGGTACACGTACCTAGTTCAAGTGTGCATCATCAACATGGGGATGGGAGGATATCAGCAAGCGAGTGAGCGTAGACAGATCTGAGAATAGGGCCAAGGACTGAGCTTTGGGGCTTCGAGATTCAGATGTTGGGCAGCAAGGAGAAACCAGCAGAGGAGCATGAGAAGGAGCACCTGTGAGGTGAGAGATGAAAGTGTCCCGGGGGGAAGAAGGGAGGTGTTTGAATGCTGCAGAGAGGTCTGGTAGGAGACTGAGAACTGTGGTGGCATTTGGTGACCAGTGGCCTTGACAAGAGCAGTCGGATTGGATGCTGACGCTGAAAGCCTGGTTGGAGGGAGTCCAAGAGAGAAAGGGAGGGGAGGAACTGCAGACTGTGAGCAAGGATCACTCTGTCAAGGAGTTTTGCTGTGATGGCAAGGACACACCAATAATGCAAGACAGGTCAAGAGTGTCTTTGCAAGCGGGGAGGGAGAACCCAGCATGTTGATGGGGATGAGCTAGCAGAGAGGGGGAAATGATGCTACCGAGGACAGTGGAGTGCTTGAGCGGATGGACATCTAGTACACAAGGGGAGAGGTTGCTCGTTCAAGGACAGCTCACTGTCGGTAATTCGAGGGAGTGCATGGTGCTGTAGCTCATCCAATCTATGTTGCCGGGGAGTGGAAGACAGCCACCCCGGAGAGAACAAGTGGTGCCAATTCAACTTTGATTGTGAGAAACATTCCAATTTCGGAGATGCTAAGCTGTGCTGTAACAACAGTGTCTCTTAGAGCTGATAAAACACGGTGTGTGCGGGCACTGCCACTGGTGGGGGAGGCGCTGTGGGGTCCGAGCACTCCGGTTTCCCCAGTGAGTGAGGGGAGGGCTGGAGGCAGCAGGTGGAAGGCTGAGGAGGAAGCAGAAGGGATTAAGCAGTCACCTGGAGAGGGGACAGAGGGAGGCCTAGGGCAGCTGGAGAGCCAGCTAAGGCTCGTGGTCATGAATTCAAAGTGAGACCAGGCGGCACGAGTGCTTCTCCAGGCATGCTTGGGTTCACAGGCGCAGGCGCAGGTGCTGACGAGGTGGAGAGTTGGGTGTAACCATTTGAGGTTTTGCAAAGTACAATAAAGCCAGAGGAGGGCAAGGAAGCCGACGGTGCAGCCACCGGAGCGCTCTGACTGGTGGACGAAGCAGTTACTGCCAGGTACGGAGCGAGGTGAGATCAGGATGGGGGTGAGGGGCAGTGAAAGGAGGCAGGATCCGGGCCCCCCCCCCCCCGCGGTCCCCAGCGACGGACTGGAGGAGACAGGCAGATTTGAGAGCAGGACCAAGGACTGAGCCCTGGGCACTCAAGGTTTAGGTAAGGGAAAAGGGGAAACCAGCAAAGGTGCGGGGGAAGGAACAGTCTGCGAAGTGGGAGATGCACCAGAGCGTGCGGCGTCACCTCCCTGCTCCTGACAACAGTGCTGTCTGGGAGGTGCTCTTATTACCCCCACTTTACGCGAGGACCCTGAGGCACAGAGAGGTTAAGGAACTTGGCCAAAGCCACGCAGCTAGGACGTGGAAGAGCAGAGTCTGGATTTGAACCCAGGCCGTGTGGTTCCAGAGTCTGTGCTTGTAGCCACTACAGAACACTGCCCCTTCCCATGGGCAGATGGGCACGCACGTCGGCAAGCATCTGCACACACCCTCGGGCCCTTTCAACAGGTGCGTTCTCCATCGGGTCTGTACGCAGATCTGTGTCCGTAGCACGTGTGGTGTGTCTGTTCGCCCCTGTGTGCACCTGCTCAAGTCCATGCAGCGACTGTGTTTATACGTGTGGGCACCTGCATCCGTGTGGTGTGGGACCCCCAGATGTGTAAGCGCAGTGTATGCCCACGTCCGTTGGGCTGTTTGCCTGCAGACAGACGTTCCCAAACATGGATGCGCGTGTCATTGTCTGAGTGTGTCCACGCCTGTGTTTCAGTCTGTGGGCTGATGCTGAGAGCCACGACCACCACATATGCGGACGTGTGCAGCTACCTGGCGGGTCGTCCTTCCGTTTGCCCCTCTCCTCCAGCTGTGCGTGCCCTTCAAAAAGCCCCCAGCCCGGGACAAACCCTATCTTGTACCTTCCCTGAGTCTGCCAGCTGAGTGTGCTGGAGACACACTGACCAGCCAGGCTTCAAATTCATGAGCACAGAGCCCAAGAGGGCACTCGGCCACGCCTGGGCCTCTACGCGTTCTGGACTAGGCTGGCTTCTGCACGCCCTGCAGACATAGCCGCACAGCTTTCACGTCTCCTCACACTGGTCCCTAGTGCTCACTCAGGGAATGCATGCTGCATTCAGAAAACAGGAGCCTTCACTCCGACCACGGACCCTACAAAGCCAGGCACATGCACCCTGCCTTCGGCCACCCCGCTGACGCAGTGAAGGGTGCGAGCCACCCCCTCTCAAGGCCAGGCCCCCTGTGGCTCTCTGCACCGTCCGAGGCTGCACGTCTTCCCTTCGCCTTCCAGACCCGCTCTCCTCCCTTCTCCACGCTGCCCTGCGCCCCAGGAGGATGACCAGACGCAAACCCCAGGGGGGATCCCAGCCCTCGGGCTCTAGTCGGGTCCAGCCGCTGGGGAGCAGAGGCAGGAGGTGGGAGGGTGGGCGAGAGAGAGAGAGAGAGAGAGAGAGAGGTGGGAGTCTTGCTTCCCTCAGTGTCCCCTCTGCGGGTCACCGTGGGCTGGCTGCATCCACAGACAGAAAGGCATAGTGCCTGTTGCCTGTCAGGTGGTCCCCCTCTCCACACAGCCTCTTTGTCCAGGTTCCGGCAACTACTCCCACCCCTCACGACCTCAGGGCCAGGGCACCCCATTTTTCCTTGTGCTCTCCCTGCATCCATCCCACATATTTGTAAACAGTCCCTTGATGAAGTCCTCTTCAACTGACCCCACGTGAAGGTGTCCTGTTTCCCACACGGCCCCGGCCTGAAGGACGCCATCCGTCCTACAGCACCGATTTCTCCTTCCCCCCGGGGTCTTCCTACCTGCCTGAAAACACACTCTTGTATCTCCTCTCTTCGCCCCACATCCTTCCTCAGGTTCCGTCCATCTCTCTACTTCCTTCCACAGCTAAACGTCTCAAAAGAGGGGCCTACACCTGCTGTCTTCATCCCTCGCCTCACATTCGCTCTTCAGCCACCCACCCCCACATTCCAGTGAGACTGCCCTTGGCAAGGTCACCACCAGCAACCGCAAGACAAAATCCAGGGGACGCTTCCCTATCCTTGCTTCATGCAGACTCCCAGCAGCACTGGACACGGTTCTCTCCTTAAAACACAATCCTTTCTGGGTCCCATTGACACAAGGGTCCTCTGGCCGCACTGGCGACTCTCTCTGCGGGCTCCGTTGGCTCCTATGCCCCTCCCCCGACGTGGGGGGACCTCAGGGCAAGGGTGGCAGTTTTAAAATGCACTCAGGAGCCACTCAGTACTTTTCTGATGGAGCCCAATCTCCCTCCCCTTGAATATGGACTGTATTTTGTCACTTGCTTCCAATGAATAGAATGTGGCGGAAGTGACAGTGACTTCCAACAGGTCATAAAAGGCCCTGTGGCCGCCTCTCTCTCTCTGTGCTCAGCCATCAGCCATGTTGTGAGGACCCTGGAGCAGCCCCATTGAGAAGCGCGGGCAGTGAGGAACCGGGGCCTCCCTCCCGCCAACAGCCAGCAGGGAATGGAGACCTCTAGTTACGAACCACGAGAACGAGCCATCTCGGCTGTGGATTCTCCAGCTCAAACGACTGCAGCCCCAGCCAACAGCTTGAGCGCAACCTGCATCATGCAGCCCTAAATTAGAACCACCCAGCCACCCTGCTCCAAAAGTCGTGAGCCGCAGAAAATGTGTGATATAATAAATGTGGTTTTTGTTGCTGCTTCAGCCCCTAATTCATGGGCGGTTTGCTGTGCAGCAAAAGGACACATCAGCCCTGACTCTGTTTTGTCTCCCTCCACTCTCTCCCTAGATGAATCACCCAGTTCTATGGCTTTAAATACCACATATATGATGGAGACTCACAGATCTCTCTCCAAATTCTGACCTCTCCTTTACAAGGCAGACTAGAATACCTAATGGCTTGTTTGACAACCCCCTCTTGGGTGTCTGAAAGGCCTCTTGAACACACTGTGTCCCAGATCGAACATTCGGCCCCCCTTGTCCATATCAGGAAATGGCACCATTCGGTAGCTCAGACCAAAACCCAGTAGTCATCTTGGATTCCATTCCCTTACTCTCCCCTCCTTATACAACCACTCAGCAATTTCCAATCCATTCTGTCTCCAAAATGCCTCTCGAGTCCATACATGCCTCCCCATCTCCCCTGCCACCTCCTCGGTCCAAGCCAATGCCATCCCTCCTGGGCTGCCTGACAGCCTCCACTCTGTCTCCCTTGAAATCCATTCTCACAGTAACCTGAGTGCTCTTAAAATTGGAACGCCTCACCCTGGGTGGACTGTGAAAATGACCACCCATTCCTGCTATTCCTGTATGCATGTGGCCTTGCTGCTTCTGCCAACAGGAGGTGAATCTTCACCTCTTTAATCCAGACTTGCTTTAGCTAATGGGATTCTAGTAAATTCCACACAAACAGAAGCTTGAAAAGTGTTTGCATGCTGAGGCTTTGCTCCTTGCTGCTCTCAGAAACCCTGCAACCACCACCATATGGGTGAGTACGGGTTAGCCTGCTGGATGATGAGCAACATGTGGCCCATTGGCCCAGCTGACAGCCAGCCAGCCGCTAGACATGCCAGGGAGGTCACTGACTGCCAGCTGACTATAAATACATGAGTGATGCCGCCACCAGCATGTGGGGCAGAGATAAGCACCCCAGCTGAGCCCAGCCCAAACTGCCAAACCACAAATCATGAACAAATAAAAGGTTCTTTTAAGTGACTCAGATTTAGAGTTTATTCGTTATGCAGCAAAAGCTAACTGATACAATCCCCTTCTCAAAGCCCTCCAAGAATTTCCCATCAGATGGATTGTACATAGTACAAAATCTAAACTCTAAATATAGACTAAACTTTCACTATAAGTAAAATATAAATATGGTTCTATTCTAAATTCTAAATACAGGTCTATGATCTTGCATCTCTCTGGCTCTGTCCAACCTCACTTATGCCACTCTTCCCAGGACTCACCACACAGTAGCCAGTTCCTGGAGAGTTGCCAGCTATCCCCTCACCATGGTGTCCCCTCAGTCTAGGACACACCTCTCCCGGTTCTTCACTAGGCTGGCCCTTCTATATCTCTCAGGTCTCATTTGAAACGTCACCTCTTCAGAGAAGCTTTATCAAATTTGCCTGACTCTTTTTACTATCAGTCTTAACACTTAGCACTGTTTATAATTCTGTTTTTACTGATGGGATTATTTGACTAATGTCTTTCTTCTCTGCAAGACTATAAAACTACATGAGAGCAAGAACAACGTCTTGTTTTTACTTGCAATTTTATCCTCAGGACCTGGCACACAGTCGGTGTCCAAGAAATATTTCAATAAATGAATGAAGAAGAATGGTAATAGTAATTAATTTTGAAACTGCTATTTCTAGAACATTCTACCTTTAGCCAGGTACTGTGGAGAGTGATCAACACCCATTATCTTTATGAACCCTCACAACCCTTACTTACCTCTTTAAAGGCCCTTTCTCCAAATATAGTCACATTCCGAGATACTGGGGATTAGATTCTATTATTATCCACATTTTGTAGAAGAGCTCACAGAAGTGAAGTGAATTCTACAAGGTCACAGAACTAGGAGGTGGCTGATCAAGAATCCACATCAGTGTCATCTGGCTCCACGCTAGGGGTCCTAACTGTGACATTATAACACTTCCCAACCCTGGGCTCTGCCTCAGAAAGGGAGAAGTGGAGGGTATAAGCATTACCCCCAGGGAAGTTTGGAGGTGCCCCAGTGGGTGAATGAGACCATGGGGGCTCAGCCACCTCCCCAGACCTCTACTACCTCCCCCAGCCATGGAGGGACACAAGTACTGCCCACCATCTCCATCTGGAACAACCCCAGTCATCTTGCCATGGGGCAGTACAATGCTCCCTCCCCTTGGAAGAGCTCAGGACCAAAACAGAGACTGAGGTCAGGAGGCTCCCAATCTAGAATCACATGAGGAATGAGCATCCACAGCTGCTCTCCAGGACCGTCAACTCTGCCTTCCATCTAGGTCACACTCTGTGCCTCCCTTGATCGTATCAGCCGCTAATATTTGTGGGGACATTTCCATACCGTGTGCCAGGCCATGTGCTTATTCCCTTACACACACTTTCTCACTGAGCCTCACAACAGCCCTGTGAAGTAGGCTTTCATTTTATCACCCCTTTACAGAACAGAAGAAGCAGCAGAGCCCGCGCTTAAAACTCAAGACTCTGGGAGCCAGGGTTTGAATCTAAGCTCCACCATTTCTATCTGTGTGACCTTGGGAAGGTTACTGAAGCTCTCTGTGCCTTAGTTTCCTCATCTGTTAAACAGAGTCACTCATATTACTTACGTCCTAGAGTTGTTAGGGGCATTAAATTTGTTGAACTATGTGAAACACCTAGCACAGTGCCTAGCCCACAGGAAGTGTTGTTAAAGATACGTTGTATGGGCTGAATTGCATCCTTCCAAAATTCATATGTTGAAGCCCTAATCCCCAGTATCTCAGAATGTGACTGTATTTGGAGAAAGGGCCTTTAAAGAGGTAAGTAAGTTAAAATGAGGCCATCAGGGTGGGCCCTAACCACTCTGACTGGTGTCCTTATAAGGAGGGGACATTTTGCCACACAGACACCAGAGGCATGCCCTCGGAGCAAAGCCTGTATGAAGACCCAGCAAGACTGTGAGCCCAAGAGCGATCTTGGAAGAACCACACCTGCTAACACCTTGATCTTAGACTCCAGACTCCAGAGCTGGGAGAAAATAAATCTCTATGGGTTAAGATATCCAGTCTGCAGTATTTTGTTAGGGCAGCTGAGCAAATTAATCCATAAATATGTAAGGTGTGCCTGATAATGAAGGTCAACTGATGAGAGAACAGCAGAGCTGGGACTCTGACCCCAGAGGCAATCTTGGAAACATCATGCCTTCTGGCCTCTGAGCACTCTTCGGCAATGGCTCCCTTAAGCACCTTCTCTGACAGAAAGGAGAAAGTTCCTGCTTGAGGTGCATACTATTTTTATTACTCAGCCTTGCCATGCTTTTGTCTACAGAGGATTTAGGGCCTGGCTTTAGAACTCATGACAATGTCCTATTCAGGACTTTAGGTATCTATGCGTACCTCAGGCTTGCCTCAGTTGTGAGATGCTGGAAGATCACTGCCCCTGTCAGGAGAGAACCTATGTTCTTGCCCTAACCACATGTTCTTGCCCTAACCATGCCATTTATGAGCTGCACGACCTTCAGCAAGTCCCTGTATCTCTCTGAGCCTCAGTTTTCTTAAAAAGAGAATGTGCATGCCTTTGGCTGTCATATGTTTAAACTAGCGTGTTCCAGGCAGTGGACAGAGTGCTTTTACATTTTATAAGAATCCAACAAGATGGCATCAAGTTGTATTATCACCATCCCATTCTACAGATGAAGAAACTGAGGCTCCAATAGGGGAGGCAACTTATCCAAGTCACATAGTATAGACAGCAAAGCTGGAACTCTAACTCAAACCCTTGTCTGACTCTAAACCCATATTTTTATTTTTTTAAGATTTTATTTTAAGGAATCTCTACATCCCAGTGTGGGGCTTGAACTCACAACCCCAAGGTCAAGACTTGCATGCTCTACCAACTGAGCCAGCCAGGGGCTCCTAAACCCATCTTTCCCATACAGCTGGGGTGCGTGTGTGTGAGGCTGTGAGTGTAGCAGTGCCTGTCATGTAGGCTCTGTAAAGTAGCATAACTGAGGAGATAAGACTAACCGACCACCTAAAACAGAGCAAGATGAGGAGGTCCAGAATCAAACTCGAAGATGGGTGATGGCAAAGACAGCACATAGAAGGAAAAAGGAGCAGAGTGGCGTGGAGAGGATACTCCCAGCTAGAAGACCTGCAGGAGCAAAGGTGTAGAGACGGAGATGGGAATGAAGCCGGCATACTCAAGGTCAGAGTGCCGCTCAAGGACAGAAAGAGTCAAGGTCAGAAAGAGCCATACTACATCCTTGAGCAGGGGAAAGGTGAGATGATGTGGTGGGTCCTGGTCACCACCACCACCACTGTCATCATCTTCACCAACCTCAGTTAAACATCTACTGTGTGCTAAGCGCTGCCCCAATACCTACATGTACTATTTCATGCAACGTCTCAACACCTTTCTGGAGTAGGTCTTATTATTATCCTTATTTTGCAGATGAGAAAATGAGGTCCAAGGAGGTGAAGTGCCTGATCCATGGTCACTTAACTAGTAAGTGGTCAAGCTAGGACTTATACCTAGTCTGTCTGCTTCCATGGCCCATGACTCTAACCACGTGGGAGGTCCTCTGAGATCTTTGGGATAAAGGGGCTGGAAGTGGGCAAGGGCAGGTAGACTGGATGGGCTCCAGCACCCACCTACCCCAGAGCTGGCACCCACCCTCGTTTTCCAGCTTCCTCTTCTCCAGCTCCGCCTCTATCTGGTCCAGCACCATGGCCAGCTCCCCAAGGATCTTCTTCAGGTAGCTCACATCATCGTGCTCCAGGATCTTGGCCTGGGGACAGGACAGGCAGGAGCCAGAGGAGTTGACTTGGCTTCCATCAAGCCTGGATAACCAAGGCTGGAAGGAACTTGACCCAAACCCCCTTCAGCAAACCCAGCCTCCAAATATTCCCCTCAGCGTAGAGGGTGCCTCACTGTTACAAACAAAGCACCCTCATCTGGGGCTCACACACTCCTGGGACCTTGGCTGTCCTGGCCAGACCTGGCTCTTTCATACGCCAGCTTCTATGAGGATCGGTTGATAGCAGCTCATTGTTGCCCTTTCTCCAGAGTTACTCTCAGCCAACAAGAGCTGCCTGGAAATACTCGGGAGGGTGTCTCCCATCCCTCATGCCCCCGCCAGGCAATCTGTAGCCAGTGACTGACTGACACAGGGGTATACAAATCTTGTCCCTTGCCTCCATGAGGGCTGACTTTGTGGTGACACTTGTGCTGCACAGCTCTCTGTGGGATCAGGTGAACTTGGCTTCTTCTTCCTTTCTATCCCTCCCACCCTTACTGGGTTCTCCTCAGAACACTCCTTCAATGCCACTCTTACCCAAGAACCTCTGTCCAATGCTCTGCTCTTAGGGACACATCCTAAGATGTCAGGAGACCAAGGCTCCAGTGGGACAGTGCCCTGCCTAAGGTCAAAGAGCCAGTACGTGACAGAGGAGTCAGGATTGGAAAAGCAAGCCATTTTATGTCATCAGCGGATCCTCTATTTAGAATGAACTTCTTCCATTTGATCTGTTTCATGGTGGGGAAGGGAACTGGGCAGGCCTGGAATCACTCACCATGAGCTTCTTCTGTTTGGAAAGGTAGGGCTCAGAGAGCTGGGGCTCCTCTTCATGGTCCAATTTCATGAGGTCTGTGGTGGCGTTGGCTAAATGTCCTGGGGAGAGAATAAGGAAGGCCCCATCTTTCTGATACTCAGAGCCACTCACACCCCTTCTTCCACAAGTTTGCAGGTAAGGTCCCACTCAAACATTGATCTGGGAAGTAATAATATCAACAGCCAACACCTAGTAGGCACAACAGGCTGCAACATAGGGATGGATGACATACCATCCTGCCCTAGGCTCAGGCTAGTGGGAGAAACAGACACATAAAGAAAGCTCTTTTACAGCACGATCAATCTGTAATGAAGAGTGAACCCCCAGAATGCTGTGAGACACAAAGGGCCACCTGCCCAGGCCACAAGGCATCAAGAAACCTCACTGAGGAGGAAACTACTCGGGGATGAGGAATTTGCCAGAAATGGAGAGGTTATAAACCTGGACAAAGTCATACTTCAGTGCATGTCTCCCCCCACCCTTTCCTGTGGTAAGGAAACAGGTTCAGAGAGGCTAAGTAATATCCCACACTAGTAAATGATAAGCAGGTTTCAAGCCTGGGTCCATCTGATTCTTAGTCTAGTGCTCACTCACTGTAGCTCACAAGGAAAAACTTGCTTAATGCAAGAAAAACCATAAGAGACTTTTGCTGTCTTGAAACTTCCCATTCTGGTGAGGCAATTTTCCTGAAGATTTAGCTAACCCCATATTTCCTGGGAAAACTGGCCTTTTAAAGATGCTAAAAAGGGAAGGGTGATGGAACAGTGGGTAAATGATGGAACTCAAGGTAGCACCTTGAGAATTATTCTTAATGAGAGAGAAGTGTCCTACAGTCCAACTTTGAGAGTCTAACTGTAAACTGTGGGAGTTATAAGAGGAGGCGAAAGTATCATGCAGGATAAGATCCTGGGGTCTGTTCCAAGACTGAGATGGGATTTCTCCAGAATTCTTGGCCAGTTAAGTCTGGGATGTGGTGGGTCAATCATGCCCTGCCCTTTCTCTTGTGTCCCAGCTCCACTTAGAGATCCCTTAGGCTCCTTGAATTCATCCTGGCCCACCTGACCCCATCATCGTCCCTGCTCCACCTGCTCCTCGCCTGCATTCTCCCCTAACTGCAGCACCCCTCCCCCACACTGAGCCAAGCCAGATCCCTGAGGGGGTGCCCTCAATTCCTCCTTCACCTCCTCCCTGCACCAAATCAGTCCCAGGTCCTGTTGATTCCTCCTTCTTATTCTTTCTCATACTTAACTTCTCCTTTTTAATCCTCTGCCTCCCTTAGTTCAGACCCCCTTATTGATCTCTCTCTGGATGATTCTGACCCAGCCCTAGGCACCGGCACTCTCTCCTTCTGTGCCCTTCTCCCCATTCACACCAAAGAGGTCTTCCTCAAACACATACTTGACCACGCCACTCCCTGCTTAAAACCCATCCCTGGCTCCTCACTGCCCTGAGATAACATCCAAGCTCTTCAACTCGCCTTAAAAAAAACCAGCAGGATCCTCTCTTCTTACCAACTCCATCTTTCACTGAGTTACCCCACCTGTCCCTGTCCCCAGGTGGTAACATTTCAGCCACTCCAAATGCTTGGCATCCCCTGAATGTGCCAGACCATCTCAAACCTCTGGGCCTCTGCTCACACTATTTCTACCTCCTGGAATACTTTTCTCCTGTATTCCTGAAAATCCCCTTCTAGATCCAGTTCAAGATCACCTGCTCCATGAAGCCTGTCCTGATCCTTTAGGAGATCTGACCACTCAAGGCCTTTGTCCTCCTGTGTAGATTGTACAGATTTCTGCCAGAAAATGCAAATACAGTAATCAGAGCTGCCATTGCACACATCCAATCAGATTACAGTCTATGTGAAAAGTGACCCCTGGACTTGTGCAGTGCACCACCTGTACTGCTATACATGGAGATTTTGATGTATTTATGTCTGGATGTATATGTCTCCCACTAGAATTTGAGTTTCTGGAGACCAGTGGCTATGTCAGATTTGTCTCTGTTTCCTTAAAACCCCGTACAGGCCTGACACAGAACAAGAGCTTAGTGAGAGTTGAATGAATGAATGAATAGAATGAGTAGGTGAATGAATAGAATGAGTGAATGAATGACCACAGATGTTCAGCTTCTGCCTTCTGATGTCTCACTATCTACCACCCCATCTCCTGGCCTGATAAAAAAAAAACCAGTAAACATACTCCCAGACCTTTCAGCTTTAGGGCTATATTAAGTTTCATTGATATTTTATGAATGTGAAGGTCAAGTATAGCATTTTCTCTCTTGCCAGTCACCCAGGGCTGCACATGTGGCTCTCCTTAGACTCCAAGAGGGCAAACCAAGCCCAGGAAAGACCTTAGGCTGACTGGAGGGATCACTGCAGGATCACTTCTGCATCCTGTGAGACCTCCCTCCTTCCCCAGTGGGGCTGGAGCCCTGAGATCTCTCTCCTCCAATGAGGAGCAGGCTGGGCCTTCTCTGGACCCCTTGCTGCCTTCTAGACTCTTTCAGATGGCTCGTGGCAGAATGAGGAGGGGCCTCCAGCCCCTAGAAGCGGTTAGGGACTGCCTCCACCCAGTCCAGGCCCCCATCACTGCTCACCTAGATGACAGCAGGAACTCCTAACTGCTCCACCCATTCTTCTCTTGGTGGAGGGAGCTCTGTATAATGCACATCAGCCATGTTCACTTTCCATCCCTAGTTTCTCCACTGCTCTTTGGACAAGATTCCATTTCTGTCAGACCTACTCCCCAGACTCACACCACCAGCCACTCATACCTCCCTTGGGCTACACTTCATCCACACTGAACTTCCTTCAGTTCCCCAAACACACCACACCCTCTCCTACCCCTGAAGCTGAAGGGATTCTCTCTCTCCTTCCCCTTCTACCTCCTGGTCCTCCTTGGGTGTTGCTGCATTTCAGAAGCCCTCCGTGCCCCCAAGGCTGGGATGGGCACCTTCTCTTATTGTAACATTCATTGGTTCTAGGGTAACATTTTTTTAAATCAGTGTTTGAACAGGTTATACATACGTACATACATACGTGTTTAAAAATTCAAACAATATTAAAAGAATGTACAGTGACAAGTAAATCCCTCTCCTCTCAATCTGTGGTCTCTTAGTTCTGCTCCCCAAAAGCAAACAGCTTCTCGTGTATCCCTCCAGAAATCCTCTGTGTTTGCAAGCACCTATGAGTCCATTTAACCCCCCTTTAAATATATTAATGATAGCAGCTAGTTGCATTTTTTTTGCCCTTCATTCCTACTGACTAATATATCTTAGAGAGCATCCCATATGCTTATTTTTTTTAGATTTTATTTAAATTCAAGTTAGTTAACATATAATGTATTATTAGTTTCAGTGGTAGAATTCAGTGATTCATCAGTTGCATGTAACACCCAGTGTTGTATGCTTATTTTTTTTTGTTTAATAGCTGTGCAGTGTTCCATCATATGGGAAGACTAGAAGTGTCCTAGTGTAGGGGAAGACTAAAATTTATTTACCCAGTTCCCAACTCATGCACAGCTGGGTTGTTCCCAGCTTCTTGCTATTACCACCTATGCTGCAGTGAATTATTTTTGTGCATGGTTCTTGGTGCACACATCCAGGTGTAACTGCGGGATCATCTCCAAGGGGTGGGTCTTTCTGTGTTTGATCTAGAGTGCCAGGCTGCCCTCCTGAGAGGCTGTTCAAACGTATTTAGTCCTGCACTGCAATTACCTGGTCACTTGTCGTTCTGCTTCCCTGTGATGGAACTGTGACCCTGGGATGGTAGAAGCTATGTCTGTCCCCATCTCTCCCCAGCCCCCTGCCCAGGGCCTGGGCCATAGGAGACCTCCTCAGTGTTGTTGACTGAATGCAGATAGGATGATACTGATAAATTCCAAGTCTTGTTCGAGGGTACTCTAAAGGGACGAGACCAAGTTCCACAACCTGCCCCTTCCCACTTTTAAACATCAGCTCACTCCCTCAAGAGGGAGGAAGTGACCATTTACTAAGCACCTAGTATCTACTTAGAATCATCACACTTCATCTATCTAAAGGACCCCATGGTGTCTGCACAGAGCCTGGATCAAAGTCTGTAAACAGCTATTGATGGATAATCTGATTTAATCCAACCCCCATTTACTGGGTGCTGGAAACTAAAGGATGAACCAGGCTATGGGCACATCCAGGCTAGCAGTTAGGACAGGACACCCCACAGGGGGCCTTGCATATCTGGACAGCTTTCCTTGGTGGCACCAACCCTGATGTCACTCAGTGCCCTGGATCACCAACCACAGTCCTGACCTCCCTGGGCCCTGACCATGTCCTCCACCATGATGGTGCCCCAGCTTCCTATGGACAAGACAAGGAGAGCCTCTGTATGGGATGGCAGGACATGGGGAAGGGCAGGAGAGGGGAATGAGACAGCCAGAGAGGGAGACACATTTCAGTGTGAACAGAATGAATGAGATGGAAGGCCAGGGAGAGTGGTGGAGAGAAAGCAAGTGGGAGTGGGGGGGAGAGGCGGGGGTGAGGATCGAGCCAGAGACTCCCAGAGGGAGGGCCAGAGACATTAACAGAGACAGAGACAAAGGGGTAGAGCGAGAGGCAGAGGGGGATGAGGGAGACCAGGAGGGATACGAGGAAGAAGGAATAAGAGACACACAGTGGGAGGAAGAGATGGAGAAGGAGACTCCTATGGAAAGGGAAAAAGTGGGCAAATGGGGGTAACCTGGGGCACTCACTGCGGATCTCGGCCGTGGCGTACTTGGGGATCATGGAGTCAGTGGTGAGCTCAGGGTGCAGGATGCAGCCGTGCGTGTAGGCGTCCATGGGCAGCGCGCCCAGCAGCTCCCGGTACTGCAGCACCCTTGCGTGCTGAGGGCTGCCCGCCTCAGGCATCAGGGCCACCACGTGCTCTGCGGGGCACAGCGGGGGCTGGGCTGGGGGGGCTCCCGCCCTGGCCACCTACCCCCCTGATTTGGACAGGCCAGGCTCTGGTACCCCATCCCTCGATCCCAGCATCCTGGACCCCCGAAATATGGAGGCCCACAGGGACCGCCCCTTTTCCCAGGCTCTTGAGATAAAGTCTCCACCAGGCTGACAGGGGATCTTACTGGTCTACCTCATCTCCCTGGAGTCCTGCCAACCTGTCTGCTAGGGGGCAGCTCCTCACCACTCCAGGCTTGTTGCCCGATGGGGGTCTAGGCCCAGTGTTGCCAGGCTTTCAAGAGAAGCCAGAAATCTGGATGCTTAAAACTGAATTTTCTTTGATTTTTAATTGTTGGCAACTCATTCATATTCTTTCTACACAGTACATGTCTGGACCCCGACCCCCTCTCAGCTGGGTTTGCAGCATCTGCCATAGGCAGTGGGCTTTTGAACCTGAAGAAGGCCGGAGGGAGGGAAGGAGACATGGGGCCCTATAGGGTTCTGCGGTGTCGGGGTCCTGCTCACATCTGCAATGTTTTAGGGTACCTGGGCCCATGACTATGGGGTGCCCGGGGGGCCCATGGCCCTGACTGTGCTTATAGGGATTCAGGGGGCTGGGCCCTGCCCATGGCCTGGCATTGTTGGAAGATCTGGGCCCCGTGTGTGGTGACTAGGAGGGCCTGTGTCCTGCTCCCGCCTGGGGGCTCTGAGGACCTGTGACCATACCTCTGACTCCAGAGCTCCTGGGGAAGTAGGCTGTAGCCCCAGTGCTCCCAGGGGTGTGTCTGGGCCAGCTAGCCCTTTCCCTGGAGTATTGAGGAGAGGATTTGTGGCGTCCCAAGGATCGTGGCCATGCCTGTAGCTCTGTGATTCCTGGGGGGCATCTAAGCCCTGTTTGCAGCCCCATCGTTCCTTTCAGGGAAGGCTGGGTCATGTCCACAGCCCCATTGGGCCTCCTCAGGCTCCCCAAGGTTCTGGGAACCTGTCTGAGCCCATGGAGTCCCTTGGGTCTGTGGCTGAGCCCCTGGTGGGTATGGCAACCATACCTCCTGTAAAGGTTCGCTCCACGTAGTCGATGATCTGGTCGTAGTCGCTGATGATATTGTCCCGGTGGATGATGACGGGCACCTCCTCCCCCAGGTTGAGCCGCATGAACCAGGGCTCCTTGTGCTCGCTCTGCGGCAGGCTCACGTCCCGCTCCTCACACACCAGGCCCTTCTCTGCAATCACGAGCCGCACCTGCAGGCGCCAGGGTCAGAGCAGGGAAGGCGGGCAGATGCGGGCGCAGGGGGGGGGGGGGGGGGGGGCCCGTGGGGGGGGGGGGGGGGGGCGCGGGGGGGGGGGGGGGGGGGGGGCCATGAAGGAGGGAGGTCAGAGGTCACACACAGGAGGTGCATGGTTGCTTCCAGCTCATTCTTGGACTCCTGGCAGGGGTGGTAGGTGGAATCTCCCAGGACCCTGGAGCCTCTTGGCAGGAGGAACACAGCCCTACTCTGGGGCAAAGCGGCAGTGCTCCCTGGTGGTGATGGGACTGGGTTTCACAGCTGGACATATCTGGGATAGGATTCCTGGCTCTGCTCTGTGTGTTTGGGCAGATTCCTTAAACTTTCTGAGCCTTAGTTTCCTTATTTGCAAAATGGAAGTATTAATAGTACCACCCCAGTGTCTGGTACATGGAGGGCACTCAGTTCATGATTTCATTATCAGGATTAGATGCTCAGCCTGGCCTCCAGGGGTACATCTGGCCAGGAAATTCAGAGAAATTCTTATCAACATAATCAATAGCTAAATTTCTCAAATTGTTTGGGAAACAAAACAAGGTGCAAAATAATTTGCCAACATCAGACGAGTCTTTTATTGCCCCACACACCTTCCCATGTGGTTGTTGAATATTCACAATAGCCTCCCAGAAGAGGGTAGTTGGGGAACTATCCCCTCTGTTTTTCTTGATGATGAGAAAACTAAAGGCCAGAGAGGGCAAGTAACTTACCCAAAGTCACACAGCCAAGGTAGCAGCAGACCTGAAACTGGAAGCAATGGGTCCTGACTCCCAGCCCAGTATTCTCTGCCCTGCGGGCACCTTCAGAGAGTCCTGGGCCTGTCCCTCCTTAGTTTTTCCCTATGTCTCTAAGGGGTCCCAGACAAATATTTGAGCTGGTAGAAGCTAGTGGAGAGCCTTGAAGCTGGGGCCTGCTCCTGACACAGCCCAACATTTCTGAGCTGGAAGACAACAAGAGATCACTTCGTCCAACTGCCCCCTGCCTGTGGATGGAGACTCAAAAAGAAGATGACTTGTCCAAGGTCTCCCAGCAAAAAGATGGCAAATGACTCCACTCCTTCCCACTAATGGCTCCAGTTCAGGGAAAGGGAGGGCACCCCTGAGGCCAGCAAAAGTGGTTCTCCTGGAGGATCAATGTCCCCACACGCCCGGTAGCTCCTGGAACTGGGCGTCCCCAGCCTCCCTCCCAAGTGCCAGGAGTTAAGCACTTAACTGCCCCACAGAGGGGCAGCATGGTATCATGGTCAGACCTTGGACTGGAGGCCAGGCTGTCAGTTCAAATCCCAGCTCTAGCACCTACTTGCTGGGTGACTTGGCTTTACATCTGTGTGCCTCAGTTTCCTCACCTGTCCAATGAGAGTCCCACCAGCAATTCCCACAGAGGGCTGCTGTGGGGATGAGATACTTTAGTCCCTGCGGAACAGTGCCTGGCACACCGTAGGCATAACGTGTCTTAGCCACTTGTATGAGATCATCTAGACTTGAAGCCTGGCTCTGCTTCTTATTTGCTTTGTGACCTTGGACAAGTCACTTGACTTCTCTGATCTTAGGTTCTATGAAATGAGGAATGTAATCCACTCTTTCAAGCATGGCATGAGGTTGGGATGGGATGACGTGGATAAAGTCCCAGCCCAGGAGGTTAATACATGGGTTCTACTATCACAATCTCACACACACACACACACACACACACACACACACACACACACACACTACCTCCCACCCGTGGCTGATGTCCTAGAGCAGTACTTCATGCCCCATCCTCACAGCTAACATGAACACCCCTTTCCTTGTGGGGAGGGAGAGGCAATGAGCCCTTGAACCCCCAACCCTCATTCACAGATTCATTTGCTCCATTAGCCAAAAGCAGGCCGTGCAGACGGGGCTGGGAGGTCCTCACCCTCTGCCACAGCAATGTTATGTGACCTTAGAGCTATCACGGCCCCTGAGCCTCCTTTTAATCATTAGTAGAACGAGGGCTGGACTCCGTGTTCAAGGTGCACCCTGCAGTGCTGCCGCACTACATTCAGATCACACCAGAGACAGTAGGAAGGAACTGCTGATTCTGTCTAAGAGAGGGGGAGGAACTGTGCCAGAGAGTGAGCACCGGGGGTGGCATCTGTTTGGTCTGGGGATGTGAGTATGTGAGTGCATGAGCCTGAACCTGAGTGGCAACTGCGTAAATGAACGTGTGTGTGTGTGTGTGTGTGTGCATGAGTGTGGGTATGTATGGATGAGTGTCTGAGCAACTGTATTAAAGTATTGTGTGAATGCATGTACATTAGTGTGGATATGAGTGTGCATAGGCACATGTGTGTGTCCTTATGTGTATGTACAAGTGAGTGTGCATGAGCAGGAGAGTATGTGCATGTGTATATCTGAACTCCTGGGTGGTGCCAATGCCCTGGAGAAGCCCCAGAGCAGTCAAGGCTGGAGTTTGGCTGGAGCCGAACTGCCCACTCCCTTCCTCCTGCTCATCCTGGCATCCTCCACCTGGGCGATCTGGCTCCGCCCAGCCATCCAGCCTCCCCAGGCCAAGCTGGGACCACTGAATGGATGGAAACAGAAATCAAATCAGGCCTCTGCCCTTGGCAGGTCCAGACATTTGGCCTTGCCTCCTGGCAGGGCACCTGCCCCCAAGGACCACTCCCAGGTCCTGCCCTGGGACTCCAGTGAGGGCACCAGGTGGGGCTGGTGCCTGGGGAGGGGACTTTCTTTAGGGATGTAAGAGTTTTGCTTGGAGCTGCCTTGGGGTCCCGCCGGCAGGCAGCCAAGGAGACTTTCTCCTTTAGCTGAGCTGCAGGCCAGAGCCAGGTGCCATCCTGCAGGGGAGGGGAGGGCGGGAGGAAGCCAGGCCCGGGGGAAGGGCATGCAGTCACAAGGCCATCTGCCACTCTGAATCCCAGAGACTGGACCAGACTTAGGTGGTCATCACGCAGTGTGGCCAGCCATCAAGCACCCCTGGGGCAGACTCCTCCCCGCAGGTGCATGGAATTAGCTCACTGGTGCTTCTTGTCATAGTTGGGCACTGTCCCTCCTCACCCAGGCCCTAGTTTATGAGGCAACGGCAAGGTGCTGGCTTGGCATCTCTGCCCAACCCTTTAGTTGCTGTGTGACTTTGTAAAAGACATTTAAGAGTCTCTGAACCTCAGTGTATTTCTCTCAAATACTTTTTTTTAATTAATCAAGGTGAGGGAGTGGCCCACACAGGGATCAAAGGAAAAGAGTTCCAGGCAGAGGGACTGGCCAGCACTAGAGCCCCGTACGGTGTCTGGTGTATTGAAACACAATGAGGAGGTCAGTGTGGCTGGGGCGGGGGGCGGGGCAGACAGGGAGAGAGACGAGGGCAGGTCCTGTACAGGGCCTTGTAATGGAGACTCCCAGGTTCAGGGGTCCATGAATCAATCCAGGGGCTCTTTAAACTAGGATGGGAAAATTATATGTTGATTTTCAGTAATCTCATACTGACAGCATTTTCTGCAATTATGAGTAGTGTAGGCGACAAAGTATGGTAGTGTTAGCAATGCCTGAAATATTGTCGCCACAGGGAATCACTTTCATCACTCCACACTGCTACAGTACACTCAGCAGGACTTTGACATTACAGGGATCGGTTCTGCCACAGGGTCAGGCTGTATAACGGGTTAATATAGAAACGTGTTATTATATAATGAATTTGTTTTAAAAGTATGACATTAGCTGTACTTCGATTGGCTTTCCTTTTAGTAATGCAGTGTATTTTATTTTATCCATGAAAAGCATTATTGTGAGAAAGATCCACAGGGTTCCCCCCGTTGATGAGGGGTCCATGACCTAATCACGCTTAGGATCCTGCAGCAGAGCCTAAGGCCATTATGAGGATTCTGGCTCTTTCCCGGAAGGACCCGGTGAGCCACTGCAGGCTTCTTCTTTTTTTTTTTTTTTTTTAGATTTTATTTATTTTTGTGAGAGAGAGGGAGAGTGAAGGCGAGCAGGAGGTGAGGCAGCAGGCAGAGGAAGAAGCAGGCTCCCTGCTGAGCAGGGAGCCTGATGTGGGGGATCATGACCTGAGCCAAAGGCAAATGCTTAACCAACTGAGCCACCCAGGCGCCCCAACCACTGCAGGCTTCTGAGAAGAGTGGTGAGATCTGCAGTTGTCACCTGTGAGTTTCTGGGGGTGGGGGTGGGGTAAAGTGTCAAGTGCAACATGGACAGGGCTGGGGGCCAGGACCCAAGAGCTTGAAAGGCAAGGCCAGGGTGGGAGGTAGGGATCACGCTCCACCTCTTGCTTCCTCCTGCCATGTCTGAGAGGGGCCTCTGGAAGACCTGCTCAGTCTTGGGTGTCAGGACTGTCTTCTGACAGGACCCAGGTCTGGGCCTCTTACTGCTGGGGGCAGAAGGTTGGGCCAGGTTCTCCCCACAGGTACTTCTAAGACAAGGGCAGACCCTGAGAAGATGGGATCAGGGAACCTTGAACAGGCTTGTTGCAGGAAGCCAAGGATGGCTCTCAGAGACTCACCTTGGTAGAAATAACAAGAACAACAGCTAACTCTCATTTGGCACTTTCTCTGTACTAGACACCTGCTCTAAGACATTTACATGTGTTACAAAAACCTAATTAGGTAGGTACTAGTATTGTGCTCCTTTTACAAAAGAGGAAACAGGCACAGAGACAGCACTAAGTTGCCCAAAGTCACAGAGCTAGTAAATAGCAATTTTGGTTTTTTAAAAAACTGGCTGGTGCGAGGACGGAAGGATGCTCAAAGGGCTGGGGACACACAGAGACAGGGCTGTTCTTCCTGCCTAGGGAGGGAGGGATGCAGGTTGTATCACACATCTAGTCCATTTTCATGTTGAAAAGCCGAGGACCAAAAAGGGTCAGGACATACATGAGGTCACAAGCTAATGAGTGGGAATACCAGCAATCAGAATGTCTGCAGGTTTGCCCCTCCAAGTCTCACCCCTTTGCCCACCCCCACCCCCCAGCCAAGGAGAAGGAGGCTGGAGGGCAGGAACAGCCTCAGAAACAAGCTAACATCTACACTTTGCATTTAGAACCTCCTCTGAACCCTGTGGCCCCAGGTGATCACTTATGATGGTGCCCAAAAGTTCACTGTTAGTGTGCAATCTTTAAGGCATCGTGCTAAGTTTGTGGCCATGCATGATATCATCCAATCCTCACAACCCTCTGAGGTAGGTACCATTCCTTCAGCACAGAGGAGGAAGCGGAGACTTGCAGACGTGAAGACACATGCACGAAGTGACACTGTGGGAGGTGGCCCAATCAGGCTTTGATCTCCTGTCTGGCAAATGTAAGTTTGCTTACTGGGCACTTTCTATGAGCCAGGTGCTGCTCCAGGTGATTTAATGGACACATTTGCTGAATCCTCACAATGGCCCTATCCTGGATGTGCTATTATTATTCTCAATTTACAGATGTGATGCCTGAGGCATGAGAGGCTAAGCAACCTGCCCAGAATTATCTAGCTGGTCAGTGGCAGAGTTAAAATTGAACTCTGGGCAGTCTGGCCCCAGAGTCTGGGTTCTGGACCGCCTCACTGTCCTGCTGCCCTCTGGCTCTGGGACTGTCCCCAGATGTCCCATGAAGCCACCACCACCACTCTTGGGGGTAGGCTATTTTCTGCTATTCATGTACCATTAAAGACAGGCTTCTAGATGCTCTACCAAGGGGAACTGCTCCCTGAATGCAGGCAGGGCTCTTCAGGACTGAAAAGAAGGAAACTTACCTGCTTAATTCCTATTATGTGCCAGACACTTAACGTATGTCCTCTTAATCTCCCAGGAATTCTGCAGGGTTGGATGCAAAAGTCCCTTTTGCTACATGAGGATGTTGAGGCACAGAGAAGTGACTTGTCCAAGGTCACGCAGCCAGTAAGCACTTAAGATGAAAATGGAACCCAAGACCATCTGACTGTAGAGCCCATGACCTTCCCACCAGGCTACACCGCCTCTAGAACCCACCATGGTCCCCCAGGCAAGGGGAAGGTCCTGGAATGGGAGGCAGGAAGATACCCAGGCTGGCCTGGTCACAAATGGGGTTGCAATGGGTAGTCCCATCCCTGAATAAGGGGCCATCTCAGCCTTAAGTGCAGACTGAATAGGATATATTCCATGGTGGCAAAGGGAAGAGCAAGAAGCTCCCTTGGGGAATGGTGATGGGAGGTACCATCCCTCTGCCCCCTGTCCAGTGCCAGCCACTGAGGCCTGGCTCCTAAGGTGCTGGGTGGGAAGGTATTCTGAAATCTGGAAGTCAGTCTAATTCATCTCCAAAGTGCCAGCAACTTGCATAGAGCCTGGCATGCAGTAGGTGCTCAGCATGCATGTGTAGAATTTATGGGTGAGGTCCAGAGTGCCCTGGCTAACCCAACTCCTCCTTCCCCTAGCACTTTAGTGATATCATAACACCTATAATTATCAGAGTCTTGACCCTTTGCCAGGCACTGCTACCAGCACGTTTTGTGTGTCACTTCATTTTACCCTCAAAATAACCCTCTGAGAAAGGTACTGCCATTAACTCCATTTTACAGATTATAAAACCGAGGCTTTGGAGAGGCAAGGCAACCTGTCCAAAGCTTTATAGTGAATTACTGGGGA